TTATATTTTTACAGTCAATAATTTTAATTTATTATTGAATAATCACAATTATTTAAAAATACCGGACATTTTTAATGCGGTTAATTTGTGTACAGGATATTTTTGCACCGGATCTAATGACGCGGATCATTTGTCACCGGATATTATTTACCGGATCAAATGTCGTGGAACCAAACATATACTTTATATTTATACTAAATAAGCTGCATCACTGTGGCATGTCAGAGGTGACTATCAATACATTTGGTGTAGAAAGGGCCAGTCTATGCCTATACCCAACAATTTCAAGATAATTAAGCATATAGTAAATAATACAGTAAGTATCGTAGATCATGTACTATGGATGTACCTGTTACGGCTGTAGATTTAATTTGATGCTGAAATGACTGAAAAGCTAGAGCCATGGTTATTACTGCGCATGTATGAATGACTGATAATTCAATCACAATAACCAATCTGAATTCAATGTATGTGCACAAATAGTATGGGGTTTTAGGTTTTCATAAATCATGTATTCATTATGGCATCAAGAATTAGCTTGATGGCTATATCCATAGTACATGATCTTTTGACCAAAAATGGATACACAATAGAATGGTAAATTTGAATATTCGTATACTTTAAATYAAGACTTATATTTAAATTAATAAATTAAAAATTAGTAGGTACCTAACTATGTTATATTATTATTCCCATAATTAGGTATGTTATAGGTTTTTATTTTTTTTTTTCTCGCATATTAAATCATAATGAATTAAATTGCAAATAAAATATGTTATTTAGGTATGGTAATTAAATATTGCTTATCAAATATATGCAATCAAGTTATTAAATATAAAATTACCTATACAAGCTATGATAAAAATATATATTAGTGTTGGCTAATGTTTGATATCAGGTCATATTAAAGGTCATATTGAAGTATACTGGTAAGAAAAATTATTTTAAGTGTTCCGAGATAAAACATTGTGGTCAGATCGTGTAACAACATAAATCAAACGAAACATTTCATACTTTGAATACCTAGCAATTTCTTAGACATACTAATGCTAACCAAAACAAAGCAATAGATATAATGAAATGATAAAGACAATGAACAAAAAGGGTAATTGTAAGATTAAAACATTTTTCTTYAATATGATATGGCACACTTCCAAAAACCAATAATTTAATACTATGAAGATGTTATAAATCTGATGTACTTTTGTCTTTAAATTGTCAAATCACTATCATATACAAAATCAATGACGACTATAGGCTGTGTAACAATATTATTAGACTTAAGTGTTATTACACTATTAGTGTAGGTAATGTTTGTGTGCTTACAAACGAATCACTGTTGGTGCATTTGAATGTCTCCTTTGCAAAATGTCCRATCAATGAGCTGATGTCATCCTCGACCACGACGTTTTTGTCCATYGTCAGCGTACTTCAAGTGACTGGGACACGTGGAAAATTCATAGCTTCGAAATTGATACTGGTTACAATAAAATCGGTAGCAATATTATATTGTTACCACTAGACAAGTAAGCGTAGACAAAACAGGTATATTCCGCACAAATAGCACGTAAATTCGGCTATTGTTTGAWTGGCGGCATCGATTTCACGAGATCAACTGCTGCTGAGTGATGATGCTGTACTACTACTACACGAATAATAGTAATAATAATAATAATGACGACGACACGATGGCGGTAAATAATATTATTATTGACGACGCGAGCGCGTTTCAGACGGTAGCGGAAAATGTAGGCAAAATGATAATCAAGAGCATTATAAGTGCGACTGACAGATAACTGTCGAGTGAAGATTAACAATACAACAAGAGGAACCAGTAGTCCATTTAGGAACTACAGGAGAGAACAAAATATCAAGAAATGCKAAATCAGAAAAAAAAACAAATCAACGTGCTTGTCATGAGGTCATGCTGCCGAMTTTTGTGAATAAAATACAATATGTGTAGTTTATTATATACATAYACATATAATCTATTCCCCGACTAACAACTACGCACACATTCGTTGATAAGAATTAATGCGCTTTATCATACGCATGACGACAGACGAACAAAACGACAATGACGCGCAATAATATTGTATGGGTATTGTATTGTGGTTATGGTAAAAGCGGTACAAACAACGATGGTGATGGAGGTACAAATAGAAAACGATAATATTATTTGWGTAGGATTCGATATGATATTTTTTTAAGGTATAATTTTATATTATATTATCTCGAAGGATATAAAATAATAATACTATAACTATAGTCAATATAATGTAGTTACCTATTTTAARAAGGTAATCAAGATTTTCAAGAAGAAGAATTCGATGCGTATCGATAGTGCCGTAGCTAGAACTAGATAGGCCCCAGTGCAAATKTATTAAATTTAATCTGTGGGCCCTTTACATAACCACACAATGGATGTGATTGTAGAGGGTGCTGGAATAATTGATGGTACACAGATCCATAGGGGCTCATAGTCAACACCCCTCTAATAATATAATAAACTGCATTAAAGTATAATTTTAAATTTTTATTTATTAATATTCTTATTTTTTAACTATAATACAAATATAATTAATTAAAACTTTAAATACCTAGTTACACTTCTATACTTGTATAGACAAATTAATAACTAGTAGATAATAATAAAGTTATAATTATATAAATGTTAATATAATCGCTACYCTTTATTTATTTAAAATATTAAGCAATTATACTGTACATAATGTAATATGTATTCAAAATATTTAAAAATAATTATATTATATTATTATAATTTATAATATGCTATTAAATGGGAACTGGGAGTGCTAATTTGAAACCTGAAGGTGCTATTGTGCTAATAACATCCTAGAACCCCTCCCCCTCCTATGAGTGCTTATGGCCCATTATTTTTCATTAATATTTAATTTAAACAATTAGGTATAAAAAGCAATACAAATCAGTTCCAGTATATAATTTTTTATTGATTTCAACACAAAACATTTTTTTCTTGTCTTCTATAATACATTCAAAAATATTTAAATTTAATTAATACATATTGATACAATTAAATTCAAATTAATATTAAATATAAMAATATGTTCCTACCTGGTGATATGATTGTGGTTATTAATAATATTATGGACACTATGGTACCTAATCAATAGGTAATGAGTTTAAACTTAAAATAAGTGTGATGTACCTATTAAGTATTAAGTATTTTTTAAATATTTTGTACCTATTAACTAGTTTRACTATTGAGTAACCTATTACATAACATTGTACCTATCATTGCTAAATTTAGCCATGGTACCTGACACCTGTGTAATAATACAGTAATCCAACATTTCAAGATAAATATCCATTTCTCACTAGTTAAAAATAATAATAAAGACACCCACTTATTAATCTTAATAGCCTATCTAAGATCTAACTTATTAACTTATTATCAACTCATCTAGCTGTCTCTATATAACTTAACAGTATACCTACTTACCTTTTTTAAAATTAACCGAAAAAGTTTTYTTTTTATTAAGAAAGACAATTTACAATCTGTACACAATAATTACAATAAGCATCAACCGAAAAAGTTAAACAAAAAAAAGTTATTTATTATTGGTAATTTCAATATTTTTTCTTGATTTTCTYTTTGTTTTTTTCGTTTTTCATTACTGCTAAGATGATTTTTATTAACGGATGACATGATTAAATGATTAAAATAAATATTATAAATAAAATGTAAAAATTGACAAACGTGCAAACAAATAATAACAACTATACGAATGAACAATTATTATTTATTAATATGGTATGAATAGGTATCAAACCATCAATATATAATATGCTTTACAAAAGTTGCATACCTAATATAACAGAAATTTTAGCATAATTCTAGTTTAGCAACCTATTGATTTTAAAAAATTTTTTTTCCAAAATGTGTGTTTTACAGTTCTTTATAAGAATCTTCTTGGAAAACACCATTTTCAAGATTCATAATAAAACCATTCTAAAATTGGCTAAAAATCGGTTTGTTTAATATTTTATTTTTTTACTACCTACGTACAGTTTTTGATGAAAAAGTTTTTAGTGAAGTCATAATTGTACTATATAGCTTAGTTTTAGAGTTACAGGTATTAAAAGTTTCCTAATTTATGAAAAAATGTAATACAGGTAAACAGGTAGTTTCAATTTTATTTATAATTTTATAAAACAAATTTTTTTTTAAAAAGATGTGTTTTTAATACTGATTTAGGAACTGATTGAAGTGATTGAACT